AAACTTTCACTCTGGAAGGGGCTGTGCCCTAAAAACAAGGAGAAAGAATGCTGCACAGAGAGTCCAGGAAAGATTTTAGGAGAGAGGTCTTGCTGGCTTTCCCTATTCAGTCTGTTAGCGTTAGACAGACCCCTTCTTTCCAGTCAGATTTCTGTGTGGCTGTTTATGTATGCATCAATAAACCTAAGCTTAGAAAACCCAAGCTTAGAAGAAAAAGAACAGTTCACTCTGAGTTTATGGTCCTCACCTTGAAAGCTCTTGTATCACACAGAACTGTGATCAAACACCTCCCAGCATTGCCTGTCTTTTGATAAAGGGTGTGAGAAGCAATCCTTTACCATAGGCAAGGAGTGAGTGCAAGCCCCGTCTTTCCCGGCACACAACCAAGAGCTGGTGTGTGCCACCTTCCAGCATTATTCCCAGTGCTGCCCACAGTGTGAGAAACTTGATTATGCCAGGACATGCAATGAAAAGCGGAGAGAACAGTCGCAGAGTGAGCGCAGAAAGCTGTAGGTGGCCAGGTACAGCGCCGTCACAGCACCTCTCACTGTCACAGACACTTGGCAGAATCAGGGTTGGCAAAGCAGTTATTTAATTTTCTGGTCAATGTTTTGCTTAGATGTCTGGTTTCTGCTGCTTGTTTATTTTGCAACTGAAACCAAAGACATGGCCAGAGCCGGGTCTAATCTGGGTAATTCGAACTGCTTACCTTTCCAGATAATTGTAATACCGTGGAGTAGATCTATGCCTATATGTGTAAGCTCAGTAGGCACATGTGTGAGCACATGAAAAGATGCGTGTACATATGTGTGCACACTCAGATCCTTTCTGTGCACCAAGCAATTGGTTAGACGCTTCTCAGTATGACCTTTAACCCTGCAGGTGGATACAGAACAGGAGCCATTCATTGCTTTAAATGCTGTGACTGAGGTCACCCAAAACCAAGAAGAAATCCGTTTTCTAAATTGTCTTTTTACTCTTCGTTTTTCATATTTCTCGTAATTTGCTCCCTTCGATGTGTAAGTGAACCTAACTCTGAGGCCTACTCTCTCACCTTAGTTTTAAATTTGTTTTTAAGGAGTCGACAAGCTAACTTTCCTTAAAAACAACAACAACAAAAACCCAGGCGCGACAAGAGTTATGATTCTGTGTAGAGTGGCTCATTGCAGAGTCGCAGCTGTCCCCACAAACTCAGTTAACCTGCGAGCTACTCCTCCAAGGCTCACTTGCTGTCACTGGCGGAAAGCTGCGGGCCCGGTGCGGCTCACTGACCCCGCAGCTGTCCACCTGCCCTTGCAGCGTGGAAGAATTCCAGGAATGCGGCGGAAGCCACCGGCTGCTCCCGGGGCGGGTCAGGTGACTGGCTGCTCTGGCTCCCGGGCAGAGCTACCTCCAAGCACAAAGGCGGCTCTTGGTAAGCGAGAGCTACTGCAGACGGAGAAGACAGAAAGGCCTGTGTTCGTGGAAATCTACACTTTCCCTTCTGAGGTTGGGTGGGGGTGGGGAAGCCACGCACGAAGCTTGTCTGGTAGGTAGGCCAGGTTGGAGCAGGTGCTGGGATGGCCGGTCCGAACGGGACCAGAAACTCAGTGAGACTTAGGAGTTCAAAACACAGAGCCTTGTGTGGGTAGAGTGACAGCCTGGAAGAAATGACCCCCTCGCCCTGCCTCTAGACTTATGCCAGTGCAAGCCTTAGGATAGGATACAGGGACTTAGTGAGGAACAAGCTTGCTCCCTGAAACCACACTCTTAATTTTCCATTCCATTTGCAGGGAGGTTGTTCGTGACCATCATCACTGCCTCTCAACATTCCTAATGCTGCAACCCTTTAATACAGTTCCTCATGTCCTGGTGACCCCCAACCATAAAACTGTTTCGTTGCTACTTCCTGACTGACTGTAATTTTGCTACTATGAATCATAATGCGAAAAAAATATCTGATATATAGGATATTTGATATGGGACCCCTGTGAAAGGATCATTCCACCTCCAAGGGGTCACGACACACAAGTTGAGAAGTTCCAATCTATATGGATCAAATATCATGGATTGTATTTTTAAGTATTGTTGCAGAGTCAGAAAAATGTTTATCTTGCTTAATCAATTGACATGCAAAAGTGTGTGTGTGTGTGTGTGTGTGTGTGTGTGTGAGACAGAGAGAGAGAGAGAGAGAAAGAGAGAGAGAGATCATCTAAGCCTTCCCTATTTTTTTTTTTTGTAAATGGGATCTCAATATGTAGCCTTCCCTGGCCTACACCAGACGCCTTATGCAGACCAGCTTGGCTTTGAACTCATAGAGATCTGTCTGCCTCTCCCTCTGCCTCCTGAGTGCTGGGACTCAATGGGTATGTACTTTACCCAGCCTCTAATTGTTTAAATAGCAAGGTGTATTTTTTTAAGGACTTTATTCTTTTAATCCATAATTTGCTCCTGTAGCAGGTCTCTTGGCCACCAGACCCTCCTTCAGCTGGATCATGAAGGTAGCTTTCCTGCAGGTAAATCCAAGTTCAGGATGACAAAGATCTAGACACTGTCTCTCCAGGAGTGCCCCCCACAAAGGTAAATCAGGGGCTACAGGCAACCTCCTGGGACAATAATGCCATAAATTCTTCCCAGACCCTTGACATTCAGTCAGGTTTCCATGCTGTCCTCATAGGCAGATCTGTACACATGAAGAGCTCCTTGACAAAATGGAGGTGCCAGACAACACCCCAAAGGATAATCTTTCTGAGTAATTTTCCAGCTTACGACTACTGAAGTCTCCCACTTTGATGGACTAATGGAGTTCTGTAGACTTTACTCTTCTGATTGCTGCTTTTGAGATCCTTAACTTTTCTTCATTGTTTTTAAGCATATGGGGTATGAACTTTACCCAAACTTAAGACTGAGGAAAAGTACAACTAATTTCATTATGTCATTCTTTTTAAAAGTCAAAACTTTATGGTTCTATTAACTAAATTCGGGTTTTCCCCCTTTCTGTATGTGTCATTTATGGATCTCAGTTGTACTTTTCCTCAGTCTTAAGTCTGGTAAAGCTCACTTGTATCACACATATTTCACCAGCTTGCCTATATTCCTGTGGGTTTGGGGGCAACTCTTATTTTTTGGAGAAGGAGCCTCACTGTGGCCCTTCTTACCTCCACCATGGCTTAATATTAACAGTGGTTTTGTTTGCACACCAGAAACAGACTAGGATGCAGTATATCTTAGGCTTCATGGCTGGGTAATCCAAATACCTGTGTTTTCCATATTAGTATAATATTCACCCTGCTGTTCACTGGGCAGAAGAGAAGGCCCTTCCAGGGAGCCAGGACTTTTCAAGGTGACCTATACTCATTGTCCACTTAGGAATACATTAATAATTTACTCCATCATGGGCCTGTAGATTCTGCTGTATGAAAGTAACCACAGGAGTCAGTCGCTCTTACGTTGGATTAGTTCCCGAAGAACATAGAAAGCTCTTTAGAGGAAGATTTTGATAAACGTAATTATCTCAGGAAGCCAATATGTTCTGAGGAATTCAAGCCTTCACCTTACCACTCAGGTTAGAATAGGCCTGACTGATTTCCTGCTTCAGAAAATTCTAGAATAGCAAGTTTATCTTTTGAGCAACATGACTGCATCAAAACATTTTCACTTAATTTACCTGAGTTAAAAATGCTACTGACTAACTTAGGCCCATTTGGATGCTAAGAAACTTTGAATAAATTTTCCAGATAGATTTTATTTTTTTTTTCCTTGAAAGAAAGGATTAAAGATTCTTTTGAAGGAACATCTTTTTCACACAGTGTGAAAAGACTACAGGCGTTCCCATGGGAAACACCCGCATATATTTCAGCCCGTCCCACAGATGGCTATTGTTCCCTGGGCAGCTCTGCGTCCGTCTGCTGTGACATGTTGCTCCATTTCACTTGGCCCAGAGGCCTCTGATGCTAGATTATGCCAAACAATTCTGAGAGACTCGTACCTCAGGGTTTTTATCAGAATTTATACAGTTCAAATTTGTAGCACGCGTATTGTAAGAACATACAAAATATAAGTTTTCTCATCTATTAGTCAAAAGCTCAGAGCATGTAATTTTAAATATTGCAAGTTTTGAACACAAATGGAGAAGTGTTCCCATTTATGGGCAATGAGCAGTAACTTGTCAAGTCTAACAAACTTCAAAAAGCTGAGATTTTTGTGGCCTTTCAGGTTGATTTCATAGTATGTCCATTTTCACCTGGAACTTTTGACTTGGCAGGTCACATTTTCTCTAGAACTACATATATCTTGGTTTCAAAATCCAAAATCAAATTCTGTTGGGCTTATTTTTTCCAGGAAACATGCCCAAATTCTCAAACCATGAAGAGCACTCAGTGTTGAGTGTATGATTGTCTCATTTAAATTCCCAATATTACTCTGCTGTATGAACAATCCAAATAGTTCCCTATCTTTAAATTTTTTAAAAAGGATGCCGTTGAATGCAATTGTTGATCATTATACAATTTAAGTGTGTATTTGAGAGACCAAAGAAGTGATAGATTAGAACATGATTTGTAAGATGTACACAGCAGCAATGATGGACAGCACCAATGAGTTTCCAAACCACAGACTGGAATGATGCTGCTCAGCTTTCTGCAAGAACAAGAGCAAAGACAGTTCCTCTGCTCATTGCAAAAGGCTTCTTAAGGTAGATGAAAGTGTGGAAAGAAGACCACAGTGTGGAGCAAAGCAATAATGAACACAATAGGAGTCCAGCACAGCTATCTGGTTCTAGGAGCCTAGAGACATTTTTCAATCACTCACAGAGAAGTGGATGTTCTTACCACAAAAACTGAAACAAACACACACAAGTGCTCCTAAATACACTTTTTCTGCATAATCAGCCAGCCCTTGGAAGTTTCTCTGCTCTACTTTCCCAGTCCCTCTCCCTTCTTCCCTCCCCGCAGTGGCTGCCCTTTAATTTCATTAGCTTTTGTTTTTGCTGAACAAAAGGACAGAAGAGAAGACGGCCATACCTCCTAGCACCGGACACTGGCAGGTGCAGGCAACAGAAGGCAAATGCTCGATCCTTGGAACACTTCAGCTGGGGTCCCGGCCATGCTCAGAGGCAGCCCTGCAGCGCCTGCCTGTCCTGAAGGTGGCTGGGCTGCCGGCAGGTCCCTGTGTGCTGGCAAGCCGGCACTGCGCTACAGTCCCTCCCGTGGACTCCCCTGGCGGTATCAGGCGAAGGAGTAACTTTTCTCTCCTTTCCAAACTTCTGTTTCAGATCTAACAATTGGCACGAAGCTTCACTTACTTCTTCGGTAGATTTCCAGCGGTTTCTCTGAGCCGATTTGTAGTGGGAAAGAATTGGATTGGCTACCAACCAGTAATTTAAGTTCTGTTAATGAATAACTCACTTTAAAGAATCAAGGAAGTTTTAGGTTAATATCAGATGGTGGGGCATTTATGCAGGCACGAAGGAAAGAGGCGGGGAGAGATGGGGGGGGTGTCATGGAATGAGACAGTATTTAAGCCAAATATGATAGAAGAAAAATACCACGTAGCAATCAAAATGCGCCTGAAGGAGCAGCCGGCTACCTGCACTCTCAGTATTGCTAAGCGGAACGCTGCACGCCACCCTGGAGCATCCCTGGGGATTTTTCTAAGCCAGCGGGGTTCCTTCCTGTGTCCACTGAAATTGCTAACTCATTTTCTTTACCTTCCAAATATGGAAGCCTTTCAGGCTTAAAGCATAGGGGATTCCTTACGCCTCCATAGATCTGTGTCTTTTAAGGAGAATGTGTTGCAAAACCTCCAACACATCGATGAATTGGTGGTGCCCAGTGGGCTGATACATCTTCAGGCCCTTCTTCCCCCTAACAGGTATGAAATAGTCGTTCTTCCTTTATTGAGATGAGGTTTTTGCCTATAAAGAATATTTCTGAGTCTTTCTAGAGCTTTCAGCCAAATTGGGTGAGCGCATTGGGGCAGAGCAGAGGGGAAAAGTGAGGTGGAAAGTTACATAACTCAAAATATTGTATGTCACTGTCACTGTCAATTATCTTGCTACATATACAAAAGCCATGCTTACATAGTGTGGATTACTTTTTTCTGCGTGCCACCGAGCATTCCATTATTCTAGTCCAAACTGTACTCAGTCTTCCCTTGGGAAGCCACACTCTTGGGGTAGAGTTGATCCCCATATACAAGATGGGCCCTAATTGATCTTCACCAACCAGAGAATTTGTCCTGATCACCGAGAAGACACATGGGCCCTTCCAAGTCAACCAGAAAACGAGGTAAGTGCTTCCACTTGGTGGGACTTATCTTTGTAGCCGATTTTGATGTCAAGAAGAGAGCATTGCACTTGTCATGTAGCCACGGAGAAATCCAGTGACTTCATCTGAGACCTATAAGCCAGCTTCCTATAAAGATAGCTCTATGTATGTTATGAAACACAGTGTTTCATAATGGAAGTGGGCTTGGCTTTTCTGCTGCTTCCACTGGTGTGTGTGTGTGTGTGTGTGTGTGTGTGTGTGTGTGTGTGTGTGAATAACCTGCTTGGCAGAGTTGACCTGACCTAGGTCTGCAGGTAGACTCTTGACTTGAGCATAGATTTAGCAGGACACATTTGTGAGAAATGTACCCCTTGAATATGATCCTCATGGCCCTCTGCTGACAATCTGCTGGAGAGAACAGGCTTGGAAAGGAATGCAGCCATTCAGAGTACCTTGTGTCAGGTTTTTAAAAAGGAGATTTTTCTCAACTTCTCTTCTCTCACACTTCCAGTGAACCTCCCAGACTTCGACGACAGCACCTGGCATGAACCCAAATGGATCTGGTCAAGAGAACCTTCCATGCACACAGGTTTTATCAATTGTTTGATTTTACAGAGTTTGTTACATCTCTGCTTTTTCCTCTACTCTGGTACAACTTGAAACAAGCAAGCAAGCAAAACAAACAAACAAACAAACAGAAACATTATTTTCAAACCATAAAGCCAGATGAAGATGTTTGCCTTTACAAACAGGAGACAATTGTAAAGGTAACCTTAAATGGGTGAAGTACAGATAAGCTCTGAGAATTCCTGAGTGACTTTTGTCTATCAATAACTTCACTCTTTTGAGTGGTAGAGAGAGACAGTGTCTCACTGTGAAGTCCAAGCTGGCCTAGAAGTCTCTACATAGCCCAGCTTGGCCTTGAACTCACAGAAATACTCTTGCCTCTGCATGACAAGTACTAGGATTACAAGCATGTGGCACCATGCCTGGACTAAGACTGGTTTTTGTTTATTTGTTTTTACATTTTTTTTCAAGTGTGCTATGTCTGGGTTCGATCTCTCATCTCAGGTAGAGGCCATAGAAATGCAAAAATATTCAGAGACTTCTTTTGAACTCAGCAAAGCCACACATCAAACTGTGGCAGTTAAACTTTTTAAGAACTTGGGAATAAGGCTGTGTGGATGAGCTTTGTTTAGTTTGTCTTGTTATAATAAAGATTATTTTCATAAATTTATGGTGGTGAAAGCAATATCGTTTACAACCCAGTTTGAGAAGACTCATTATTCACACCAAGTAGCTTTCCTCTGTGTGAAAAGTGTGTTATCCTTAACCAGGCAAGTAAAGGGAAAGTAGAGGGCCACCCTATACTCCCCTCTGTCCTTGTCCTACCTCTATCAATGGCTCTCACAGGGCCTGTCTGTTTTAGATGCTTAATATTTCTTATGATCTGAGTCTGACAGCAGCCACAGTGATCCTCAGCGACACGTGCATAGTCTGTATGCTCTAGTGTAACTTTCCCTCCTTGCATATGGCAGGGTTGTGATTTGCTTCTAACACATAGAGCCTAATCGGGAGGCTAGAATGTTATTTCTGTGGCTCCCTTGTTATCTAAGATGACATCATGCTGCTGGCCTCAGTCTAAATATTCTCTTTCTGGTTCAGTGAAGTAATTGCCCGTGTGGAAAAGCTCATAGGACAAGGGAAAAGGAATGGCCTCTACCAGCTAAGGGTGCCTTCATCAAAAACTGACAAGAAATCAGTGCCCTCATCCCTAGAGATACACAGAAATGGATTCTTCCCATACTGGAGGGAACTTGGAAAGAATTCTCCAGCAATGCTTCTAGGTGTGAAGTCGGCTCAGCCAACACACTTGATTATTTTCTTCCAAGATCCTTAGCAGCCACATGCAACCAAGGATGTCTGGGTGCAGTCCAGTGCAAAACAGTAAACTCACTCAAAGTGTTTTGTTCCATAATTTAAAAAGTTTTATTTTGAATTAAGAAATTGTGAATTTGTATATGTGTCTGTATGGGTGTATGCACATGCCTGAAGAGACCATAAGAGGGCTTAGGTTTCTAGGAGCTGGAATTATAGGTCATTGTAAGCCGCCCAGTGTAGGTGCTGGTAACTGCTCTGCCACTTCTCCATCCTTACAATTTTTATGTTTTCTAACTCAATTACATGAATTTCAAGCTTGAACTTTAGATGAAAAGTTGTTTTGCAATGTCAAAGGGTTGACATGCCTGGGTGCTTCTGAATGATCCTATTAAATTGTGAGTTATAAATGACTTCCTCTGCAGTGGAATGCTTTTCCATCTCAAAAACAAAGTAGACGACACCTGAGATTGACCTCTAGCCTCCACACACGCATTCCCACATGCCCAAGGTCCATTCAGTGATTTGCAAACTCCATATTTGCTGCAGCTTCCCCTTTCTCCACATTGTCAACGTCTCTTATCACTCTTGCTTTTGATAGCTCTGCTTACGCTACACTCAAGTTGGATAAATGTTCTTGCTGTCCCCTTAAGGGGATTCTACACCTGCTGCGGCCTCTATCTCACCAGGCTTCCCCTAGAGGTCCACTGACTTAACTCCTGCTTAGGATTTGAATCTGAAATGCTGTCACAACCTCATGTTTTGATGGCTTGGTCCCCAGCTTTCTGCACTGGTTTGAAGGTCATGGAGCTTGGTCCCCAGCTTTCTGCACTGGTTTGAAGGTCATGGAGCCTGTAAAAGGTAGACAGTTGGCACTAGAGGAGAGTCTTGGAAGGTTATACCTGCTCTGTGCAGGTTTTAAGCCTGGGTTCTCTGCTTCCTGGTCTATGTCACATGACTAGGCACCTATATAACTCTCTCTCTCTCTCCCTTTCCTTCTTCCTCTCCTCCCCACTCCTTTCCAATCTCTACCTCTGTTTTTTCTTTCTTTCTTTTTTTTTCACAGCTCCTTCTAAAACATAAACTTTGGTAAAATGTTTGCTGTGTGTTTGTTTTCACACCCTGTATAAATAAAAGCTCACTGGCCAAACAGTTTAGCATAAACTGTGAGTTCCAGGACAAATAAGAGACAGTGCCTCAAAGACAAGGTAGACAACACCTGAGGTTGACCTCAGGTCTCCAGACATGCAGGTGCACACACACACACACACACACACACACACACACACACACACACCTTAGAAGGCAGAGACTATATCTTCAAGTTGCTCCCTGGAATCTGGGATGGTCTCTGATACATGGCATCACCGTAAGTTCAGGAGGGCTTTCCAGGCAAGACTGTGATCAGAAGTGAATAGACTCAAGATGAGCAAAAGCAGGGCTGTAATTTGACTCTGGGAGAGAAACGTCTAAGACTTGTGGTCAAGCTTGGCTGCTGAGTCAAGTTCCAGGCTCTGCATCAGCATCCATGGGTTCAAGGCAGGGCATGTCCCTCAGAACCCAGAGCAGCAGCTGCCTCATGAGCCTGCTCCTCTCAGGTGTTGATGCTCGATCCCCCTAACAATTTCACAACTTTTTTTTTTTAACCGCTTTCAATGCAAGTCATTGCAGTTTAATTAGACAAGAACTGCTTGTAACTAAGAAACACAGGCTGATAGCAAGGTCATTATCCTGCCTTTCTCTTGCTGGCCCTTCAATAAGACATACCATGACTATGCCACCTAACCCCACAACCATAGACTCTAACTTTTCCTGTCAGGAGACAAACCCATGTCAGGCATGAGTGATCATTTTTCTTTTGTCTCTACGGGGTACCTGCACATCTAAACCATCTTATTCTCTCCTAGTAACTGACCAGTTTTCAAGGAGTAGGGCCAGGATTTAGTTCCTCTGTCTATCTCTAGCTCTGGTTTACTATTAGGACAAAGGAAGAATTTAATAAAAAAATTCATAAAGTATTTCTGCACAAACACACCAATAAAATAATAATTCTATACTGAAAACAATTCTTATGTAGAAAGGAATATACAAACAGAAAAAAAAAACCTGGAGTAAGATGTAACCCTTTATCTTTTCAATTTGTAAAAGAATCTAAATTTCTGATTATCTTGGTAGCAGCAGAGTCAAAAGAATAGAATATCCCTTTGTTGGGAAAGAGTGTCTAGCTCGAGACATCTCCATCATTGTGTCAATATTAAAAAAAGAAA